CCCAGGCAGCCCACTTCCCCCTCACTGGCTGAGCGCGGTGCGGGAGCAACACCGAGGGTTGCAAACCCGTTGCCGGTCCCCGGTCCGGTACGGGGGCAACACTGAGGGTTGCGATCCGTTGCCGGACACAGAAAGAGACAAAAGACAAAAAAAAAAAAAAAAGAACATGTATTCTTTGTATGTATATATGATTTAGGGCTGGCTGATTAACTCAGTTGAGGTCCAGGGTTCGATCCCTATACTGGCCAGGTGGGGGCAAAAAAAGTCTCCTAATATATATGGCTTATAGTTAATATGTTCTGTAATTTCTTGAAAGGAGAATTTTAACTAAATATTATTCTAAGCATGCTACTTACTTTTTACCAAAAAAAACTATGAAAGGGTAATTGATTATATTTATTTTACTAGCAGTAAATGGCTTAAATGGATGTTGAAATAATAAGGCATTTTCATTCTTTTCCCACAGTGGTAAGGTTTTATTATTTCAGAGTGATGGATGACTTGTCATTTGCCTGTTTCGTTTCAAGCAGGATTCCCAGCTAGCTCTGAAGCTGAGAAACACACTGCATTTTATTCTTTGCCATCTTCATTGGAAAGAACGCCCACCAAAATGACAACATCCCAGAAAGTTACCTTTTGTTCTCATGGCAATTCAGCTTTCCAGCCAATAGCATCAAGCTGCAAAATTGTACCACAAAGTCAGGTTCCTAATCCTGAGTCACCTGGAAAATCCTTCCAGCCCATAACTATGAGCTGCAAGATTGTCTCAGGTATGCAGAAGATGGATTGAAGATGATGTGTGTGAAGATGACCGGATGTTAGAATTATTGAAATAACAGAAGAGAGTACTGTGGCTTTTTCTTCCTTAAGTTCTTCTAAGAATTCATATGAAAACAGTTTTTGAATGGGGGAAAGAAATAAAACTCAAAGTGGTCAAATTTGTGCCTTCTAGAAACAGAACAGGTAAAAGGTTCGCTAGGATTTATGGCTGTAACTCAGGTAGCAATTTAGTTTGGGGATCAGTGTGACTAGTTACAGAAAAGATTTTGGCTTGGAGTTTAGCTTTAAGGGTTGGAATTGGTTTGGAATTGAAATACCTTTCATTCTCTCTCGAACCACACTAGAAAATTCATTCCTATTATCAGTAGGTAGTTCAGAGGCTTCCTTTTCACTAAAGTTGGATTGTCTATTGCCTTGTGACAGTTTCATATTTATGTTAGATACACTTCTATTAGGAATGGACCTTATGGTTTTGGCTCTTTCAAGTCAGAAAAGACATGAAAGAGCAATTGAAAATATCCAGGCAGTAGGAGTAGTTTCCGTACAATATGCACCTAAATTGGGTGGAGAGGTTGAGGGAAGGAGTCTTTGGTGCTAAAAATAGACAACTAAGCAGAAATATGATTTAAATCTTTGAAATTGATGAAAGGTAAAGAATGTGTAATTTTACCTATCAGTTAGAAACATTTCGGAACTTGTGAATAGGCTGAACATATAAATTAGTTTAAAGCTTAGAGAAATTCATGGATGAACATATTTGATTAATAAAGGAAAGCTGAGAATGTTTAAACGTACATTGATAACCTTTGAGAGTGTTCTGTGGGAGCGTGAATCTTTCTGGATTGTGGCTATAACATAGTATTGACAGACTTTTTTCTTGGGTAGGTAAATTACATATTTTCCTATTTGAAATTAATTGCACATCAAGACATCAGGTTCCTGCTAGCTGGTTAGTTCAGTAGGTTAGAGCGTGGTACTGATAACACCAAGGTTTGATCCCTGTACCAGCCAGCCACTGCTGCCAAAAAAAGTGTCAGTTTCCTAAATCTAGCTATTCACTTGAACAAATTTTTTTCTCTAATTTCAATGTCTTCAAGTGTAACCAGTATTATAACAACCTGCCTTTGATGTTAAGAGATTTATCACGTCAATATTCAGCAGTTCCATATTGTTGTAAAAAGCATTGGTTTTTGAACTTTAATGTGCATACCAGGGCATCTTGTTAAAATTTAGATTTATATTCAGTAGGTTTGGGGTATAACCTCAAAATCTGTTTCTAACAAGTTCCCCAGTGGGGCTGATGCTGCTGGTCCATGGATAAGGATGCAGAGAGTGAAACACACTAACTACTCCGTGGCCTCAGCTATGCTTCTGCTGCTGCTCAGTGCCCAAAGCATACAGTCCCAGTCTCTTTTCCTGATCTGTCACCTTTGTCCTGGTGGCGCTACTCCTCTTTCTTTGTCTTCAAACTGAAGTATGTATTTTGTTTCTCTTTTCCCTTTTTAATTAATAAAGGTTCCCCAATATCAACACCAAGTCCATCACCATTGCCTCGAACCCCAACTTCCACTCCAGTCCATGTGAAGCAAGGCACTGCCAGCTCTGTTATTAGTAATCCGTATGTTATCATGGACAAGCCTGGGCAGGTTGTTGGAGCCACCACTCCAAGTACAGGTGGGTATTTGATCAATATTTATGCAATCCAAAATATTTGATCTTTTAATAAAGACAAAATACTGGCATGTCATGGGAGAAGGAAATCTTCGTCCATAAACAAGAGGAAATATATAAAAGAGCCTAATACTGTTTCTCTGAGGGAAGGTTTATTCTTTGTAAAAGTTTCATTTTTAGGAATTAAGTTTTCTTTTTAAAGTCTAAAAATTAAAAGTGACCCATAATTAATTTTATTTTTAAAAGTTGACTTTATTTTCATTTGGTGGAAGACTTACTCATTTGGGGCCTACAGGCAATGTGGTTACTAACTTTTCCAAATAAAGCTTTTAGTACAATAGAAGCTTTGTGGGCCACACACATTTCTCACCAGTCAACCAAAAAAATGATATTTACTTTTCTGCAAGTAAGGCATATTTTGCTTGTGGAAGGGAGATTGAAAGCACTTTTTTGTAGTGCTTTCATTAACATTATTTTACAGTAGTTTTTTTTTTTTTTTTTTTTAAAGCTAAGCACTTTAACAATGATTATAATTGTAGAACTACTTTTAAAAAATATGCTTTCAGGGCTAACAGTCTTTTGAACATACTGGGGGATGCCAAATAGGTGTCCTTTGAAGGTGTTTAGTTTTAGGAATCAGACAAAAGTCTTTGGAGGCAAGTTTGGTAAATGGAGTAGGTGATTAAATACCATTTTAGGCTTGACTTACTGTTGACTTACTTTGTGACTTTTTAAAAGTTAATTTATTTTTGTGGTTTTGTGTGACTTATTTTTATCACACCCTAAAGGCAGTTGCACAAGTGGGATATAAAATGTTTAATGTTGGCAGCATTTGGGAATAGGGATAACCTTCTAGTGAAATTACTTTGAAAGAGCTAGCATTCACTTGCATGCATACATTCTGGCACTTTTGTTAAACAACTGATACCATTATGTTATATTATTTCTTATATAAGGAGTAGAGTATATAATATGTGCTTATTTTACTTATTATTCTACATGCTCTTACTAGTTTCATATTGCTTTTTAGGTTGAGCATGTCATCAGCTTTATAGGAATGAGTCCTTAAGTGTTTTTTCCATAATTTCAGGATTGTGAGTTTTCAACCCTTAAAAATGAAAAAGAAATAGTGGGTAAGAGGGGATGATGTGGAGAATGCTTTAAAATTACATTTTGTAAATTTTACTTTGTTTATACTTTATTATTAAATCTGCCTTGCTTATCAGGAAGTCCTACAAACAAGCTGTCTACGGCTTCTCAGGTCTCCCAAGGAACAGGTTCCCCTGTTCCTAAAATTCATGGAAGTAGTTTTGTAACGTCTACTGTCAAGGTAACGCTCTTGTTGCATTACTGCCCTTTGCTAGTTTCTAAAGACAGTATGTTCAGCCTCAGCAAGAATGAGTCAGTTGATAATGCAAATTTCAAAAAGTAGAATCTTCAAGCTGATCAATATCTTGAAGATCATTTACTCCAGACTTTACTACCTCACCTTGATCTTTTTCTCGTATAGAAAATGCATCTCGAGGGCTGGCCAGTTAGCTCAGTTGGTTAGAGCACTGTGTTACAATACCAAGGTCAAGGGTTCAGATTCCCATATTGGCCAGTTGCCAAAAAATAAGAAATTAAAAAAAATTTTTTTTTAAAGTAAAAAAATGTGTCTCAACACTTCTATCAAATGATCACTCAGTATCTATTTGAAAAGTTACTGTGATGAGTTGGCTTTATTTATTTGGATAACTTTGCTAAAAATGTTTCATTATAAAAATATTCATGTGACAACATTTTCCTTTTTTCCTATATTTGCACCACCATGAAGTAAATATATTCTGTTTTCCACGTGTTAGCCTTTTAGTTATTTGAAAATAATTCTTTTCTCTCCACAAAGTTTTTTTCCTCCCTTCCTCAGGATAAGTACTCCTTTGAAATTTGGAACTCCGAGTATGATCTGACTTGTTCAGATCAAAGTGCTAAATATCTGCTCACCATTTAGCAAAGGCACTCTTGTGCTGTTTGGTTAGGTATTCAGCTTACTTGTCATGGCTCCCTAAGTCTAAAGTCTGAGGTGTAAACTGCTGTCTCAGAACCCCTGAGAATGCAGAGATCATCTCTTACATGACTAGTGCCTAGCACAGCATTTCTTATGATTTTTGTACTTAATAGTGATGATATTGAATGGTTTTTTGGTCCAAGGCAAGGTTTTTCTCTAAGTTCTGTGCAGCATGTGAGCACTATGTTATATGAATTGTAATAATTGCCTTGAATGTCTATACACTGCCAGTCTAGTTTTTAATGTTAGTTGATCTTTTCATTACGTAGTCAGGAAGTGTCCTTAACTTTATTTCTTGCCCCTAAAATGTGATTATGTCAAATTGCCTGTGAGATTTGCATTTCATTTTTGAGAATTAAAGACAAAATACAGTATGTTTGAGTGTTGACTTTTGCTGTCTGTGTGTATGCTAATTGTTCAAGTTGTTTTTGTTTTGTTTTTTAAATCATTACTGAAAATTTTTTCTTTGTATTCCGGGCATTTATTGAGTAAATTTTACAAGTCAAGTTGTGAGTACTATTAAAAGCATATGTACTGAAACATTGCAACTGCCTGTTTCTTTCATTTATTTATTTATTTAGCGCCTAGACTCTAGGGATATAAAAGAAGCAAAATGCAGTATACAGCAGGACATGAATGAGTAGGTTCTTGCCAAGCTATAGCTTTTCTTTGCATTGCTTTCTAAAACAATTTTAAAATGCAGTAGAGGCTTGAAAGACCCCAAAGAGTTTTAGGTTTTTGTTGTTTTGTCTTCTGGTAGTTTATGTTGCAAGAGAGTGTTGAGAATGTCACAAGTTTGTATTACATAAAAGTAACTAGAATATCTGAAAGCGCTCATCTTACCCTGATTGTACAGTATCTATTTTTACACACACAGCAGGAGGATTCTTTGTTTGCGTCTATGCCACCTCTTTGCCCAATTGGGAGTCACCCAAAGGTTCAAAGCCCCAAACCTATAACTGGAGGACTTGGAGCTTTCACAAAAGTGAGTATTTGTTAAGGCATTATCCTGCAAGTTAATATGGTCTTGTTACATAATTCTTTTTGTGGCATGTTGGAGTGGATTGACAATACCCCTATAGCATGTTACTGTTCAGTATATCACAACTCTAAGACCAGACCCTAGTTCTAAGACATGCTTCCAATTTTTTAGTAATGTCTACAAGGCAGCGCCTGGAGTTCAGCAAGATGGGAATTCAGAAAGCACAAACAGTGTGATTGCTTCTTCATTTTGCCACAGTCTCTAAAACAAGTGACTAGGTTGAGTTTGCAGAAGCACATGATCAAGTCCTGATCCTACTTTTGGTCCCTTTAATAGCTGTTATGGACTATATTTAAGCAGTGTTTTTATCGTTCTGGTGGAGTCATTCTTTACAGACCAAACTTAACTCTTTAATTCCTGTGAACAGAATAGATTCAGATATTACCAGCTTTTTTCCATAGGATGCTTATTCAGTGTCATTATCATGTTTGTTTCAAGGTGATCATCAAACAGGAACCTGGTGAATCCCCTCACATGCCCACAACAGGAGCGGCCACCCAGTCACCACTCCCTCAGTATGTGACTGTGAAAGGGGGTCACATGATAGCTGTGTCCCCTCAAAAACAGGTCATAACTGCTGGAGAAGGGACTGCTCAGTCACCAAAGATTCAGCCCTCCAAGGTTTGTGTTGGGTAGGGATGGGGAGATCAACATGTAAATGCACATTGTTTGCCTGAATAATTGACAAATGCTGAACAGATTCAATGTGACAGGGTACCTACCGATCCCATAAAAACCTGTATATGAAAGCCCAGTTGGAAAAACAAGTCAGTTTATATTAAACCCTTCCGCTTCTGTAGTAATCACTGACAGGAGCAGAGGAGTGTATTACAGAGGGTCCAGGAATAGTCTAAGAGGCAAAGGGGGACACTTTGTTATCTCTCTGACAGTGAAGGTGACTTACCTGTGGACAGAGCTTTCTACTTGATTCAAATCTAAAAGGGGTCTCCTGTTTTACTTCCTTATTTGTGATAGGAGAATGCTACAGTTCACACCTCTGATGTCCAGGTTATGTGGCTCTTTAGAGAGTTTATTTTCCTTATAATTTGGAGGTATGTGGGAATTATTGTATTGGGAGAACTGTGAAATTGCACATAGATCCATGTTTTCCTACATAAATTAGAAGTAGTATCTATTGAGTACTTGTGTTTGCCATGCTCATATTTATACATTATAATCCTCATGCAACTGTACAAGGTGAGTATTTTCATCCCCATTTTACAAATGAAGAAACTGGCTTTGAGAGGTTAAGCAGCTTCCTCAAGAGTGTACAGCTAGTAAGTGATAGGGTTTGAACCCAGGTCTGCTGACTCCAAACTCCCTATTCCAGAACTAATGGAAATCGGTGAGCCATTATCTCTAAACTAAGCATGGTTTTAGAACATCCAGAATTAAATTATCTCAGTTTTTTGGCAGGTATACTCTAGAGCTGTTAAGAATGTTATGTGGGTGTTTGTTTTTCAACTTGAAAGCCGTCTTGTACAGGGCAGGTGAATTGTTTTGAGAGGAACACCCTAAAATAGAAAAAAGGCCCCCTGACATCCGCATCCAGCCCAGCAACAACCGAGCTGCCAGTAGAAGCCCCCTGGTCTCCCCTGCTGGAATAAGGGGGGTGCCACAGGCCTTGACCATGTCCCCGTCCTTCCTCCTTCTCCCATCCTATTTCCCTCCTCCTTCCCTTCTTCCCCTCCCCCTCCAACTGCTGTGCAACATCTTAGAATGTAAAAAAATAATATTAATAAATAAACTTTAAAAATAAAATAGAAAAAAGTTTTAGGCATTTTGGTTAGTTTATATAACTAGATAAGGATTAAGATAAAAATTTATAGCATTATAGGTGGTTCTAAAATCTCTAAGAGTCCATTAACTACTTTCTCAAACTTAACTGATTATAAAAATCATCTACTGATTAAAAAAATATAGATATCTAGGCCCCTGTCTCAAACTTATTGAGTCAGAATCTTCTTGGGGGCTCTGGGAATCTGAATTTTTAGAAAGCTGCCCTGCTGATTCATGTGCTTAGGCAAATTTAGGAACCATGGAGCTATAATATCTTATTTGACTTGGGGCTTCCATGGCCAGAATCACTGAGACAGGCATCCTCAGCTGCTTCCTATGCTCTGCCTGTTATTTTGGGCTACGGGGTAAACATTCTTTTTTAGAATCCTTTAGTGAACTGTTATTGTCATCTGAACTTCCTATTTAGACTTGTCCCATATGTTCTCAGAATCTATTATGCATCACAAGGGATATATGGTTTTACTGATTTAGGTTTTGACTCAGTCCACCATTGCTGTTTATGCTCAGAAGCTCTGGGATAAGTTAGTCTCCACTTTTTGCTGCTTTGCATTTTGCCAATCCACTTATCCAGTAATGCCGAAAAACTGTATTGTCTTGTCACATTGCCACCTACGTAATGGTGATATAGGACTAATAAAATAGATGGGTTTGTGCTAGAATGCCCTGAATAAGGTTGAAAGGCAACCGCAAAGAAGCAGCAGAACATGAGAAAAGACATTGCTGCTTATTCAGGAAGTTTACTACATGCTTTAGACTCGAGATAAGGAGTTGTCTGCAGGTACAGACTGTCCCTGATTATTGTTGAAGTGCTTTCATAGAAACTGTGCCAGAACACAGGAGGGTGGAAACAGTGGTACTGTTTTACCTTCTGTATATCTTCAGCACAATAGAAACAGATTATCTTTTCTCGTGAAAGTGGGGAGAAGTTCTCCCATTGACGTGAAAAGGGACAACAGAGGAATAAATCAGTTCATATGGGAAGGAAACAGTGCAGTATAGTACAAAGAGCAAGAGCTTTAGAATCAGAGCTTGCTGCAAATCTCAGATCTCAGCCACTCATTACTTGTGTGGCCTGAGCAGGTTACTTAATCTCTCTGAACCCTCTTTTTTTCATCTAGTAAAGGGAATAAATACCTCCTGTCTTTCAGAGTTGTAGGAGAATTAGAGATAATTGTATAGAAAGGACCTAGCACAGAGCAGGTGCTCAATAAATAGTAGCTAATGTGAATGTCATTCATATACATGCTCAAGTACCATGGTAGTAGTATCATTGTGCACTTAATTGTAAATGGCCGTATTTTTGAGTGTCTGGAGGGAAAATCACTTATACAGAATCTTCCCCTTCAGGGTGCTAAAGTAAATTCTGACTTGCCAAAGATATGTACAGGACACAGGGAGAGCAGAAATAAAACATTGAATCAGAGCATGTATTAAGCAGAAGTATTTATAACATACAGAACAAAGGGTGTCTGCTTTGTAAAGCTAGAAGGAAATTCTCAATTAAGGGAAAAGTTGTGGGATGGGAAGAGTTGGGAGATGAGTTCAGATTCTAGGCTGAAATATTGTGTTGGTTAAAAAAAAGAAAAATGAATGTGGGGTTATAATGTCCTTCTTAAGAGCCTTTCCTCCCTTGTGTCCATAATGAACTATGCATAAAGTTTTTCATTCTTCCTAGTAGAATGCAAACTTCCTCATTCTCTGCAGTTTTCCAGAACAGAGCGGGGAGAGGGCATTCATCTTGCAAGTGGTGTGCACATAGTGGATAAACTCACTTAGTGAAGACTACCCTCCTGTGGCTGACTTGGGGTACCAGGTTTTATTAGGCTCCTGGAGAGGCTGTGTCATACCCTGGAAACTTTGAAGCAGTTGGCACAAGAGGAGAAAAGCATGTCAGATGCATGAAATTTGGGGAAAGAAATTGAGATAAGTCCAGTATGTGTGTATCGTTTTCTTTAAGATCTTTGCTTTCTTTGTTAGTTTAAGAACATGAAAATAGATTAAGTGTAATTTAGCTCATGAAATAGATTATTAAATTTGACATTTAGGAAATGTGAAGATTCCTGTCTTAGTTATGAAAAAAGTTTAACTACTATATAACAGAGAAATCCAAACACCAGAGGCTTACATAAGTTTATTTCTCTTACACATAAAGGACCAGTAGGCAGTTCTGTTTTGGTGGTTCCACAATCATCAAGAATCAGCCATTCTCAAAATTTGGTTTTCAGCTTGTAGACTAAGATAAGTGCTTCATTTCTCGCCTCCATTTTTACACTTGTTGTCAGCAAGAAAGGAGTCGGGGGAAAGCTGAGAGGAGGCATAGCCCAAAGCTGTACTTATCCTTCTGCTCACATCCCATTAGCCAGAAATCAGGAGGCCGCACTGAGGTGCAAGAGGGCTGGGAAACACGGTTGTTATTCCATGCTGCTGTGCCTCCAGCTAAAAACTGCTGTAAGACAGAAGGAAAGAATAGATACTGGGATTCAACTAGCAGTTTCTCCCACATCTCAAAAATGTTTTTCTACATTAGCAAACTTTTTTTTTTCATAAATGCAGAAAATTCTTTTTTTTTTTTTTTTTTTTTTCCAAAAGATGACTGGTAAGGGGATCTCAACCCTTGGCTTGGTGTTGTCAACACCACGCTCAGCTAGTGAGCCAACCGGCCATCCCTATATAGGATCCGAACCCGTGGCCTTGGTGTTATCCGCACCGCACTCACCCGAGTGAGCCACGGACTGGCCCAGAAAAAAGTTCTTGATTAGTAAGAAGTTTTTCTGTATTTCCACATCTCTGGCGGGATGACCTTGCCCAGCTCTGTGGCTGCGGAAACTCTCCACATCCCCCACAGAATGAGGCTCACATAGTTAGAATGAAGAGATGTAGATGTAGACAATAAGGGGTATTTCCACCAAGCCAAGAGAACTGGGGGAATTTCTCATCTCTGTTCTAGGTTAACTTGCTTTTTTTTCATTTTTTTTTTTTTTTTAATTCTTGTTTCTTCTTTCTTTCCTTCTCTCCTCCTTTAAACATACGTAAAAGTAGAATAGCGTAATGAATCTCATGCGCCCATTACCCAGTTTCAACAATCACCAGCATTTTGTTCATCTTACTCCTCTTTCAGGAATATTTTAAAGCAGATCCCAGATGCTATGTAATTTCACTGAAGATTAATTTCTATTTGACTAACTGAATCTAGGGTTTAAGATCAAGGTCTCTGCTCTGGCCAGATGCTGACAACAGCAACAAATGCTTGTCCTTTGGCCCTCCTTTTCCGGTCTTCACATTAGCCTCTTGGATTCCCATTCTTCAGTTAATATAATAAGTGTTGTGTTTAGCAGCAGCAGCTATTATGTTAGCTAGGCATTTTATAAACTTATTCTCATTTTGCTTCATGGTTTTATGAGGTAGATTTTATCTGTATTTTATACATGAGGAGGTGAATGCTAAAGCTCAAAGAGGTTAAATAACTTATCCAGCTACCAACCGGTAGAACTAAACTGGGAAACCACATTTGTCTGCTTACAGAAACCTATACACTTTCCTCTGTGTTATACCAATTTATAATAGTTGATTAGGAGTCCATTTTCTTTATGTCAGCCATGTTATCCAAGCACATGGCAAATGTTTTTTACTATATTCACAATTTTTGAAAAGAAACCCATGTATGATTTAGTAACTAGTTAATTAAAACATCTTATTCATCAGTTGCGTATGGCTTATCATTTTGTTTTACCTCCTAAATAATCCTGTTGTTTAATTTAGAAACATTCTAAAATTTCAGTGAAATACAGAGAATAATATAATTAATAACCACATACCCTCCACCCTGAAATGACATATTCATATTTACTTTGGGGTTTTTTTCCTCAAAATAAAACATGACCAATAAAGTTGAAGTCTCCTTTGTTCACAGAAGCAGCACTATCATGAATTTGAAGTTTAGTCTTTCAGTCCATACTTTTATTATGTAAACATAATAAAATAGCCATAAAAAACATGTAATATTGTTTGTGTTTTGAACATTTACATAAAAGGTATTTATACTTATGTTTTTCTGCAACTCCCTTTTCACTTAATATGAGTGTATATTCTTTCAAAGTCTGTTTATGCTAATATATATATAGCTCTAGTTCATTCATTTTTACTAATGTATATAATATTACACTGTCTTATACCACAGCTTATCCATTTCTCTATCTGTAGACATTGAGTGTTATATGCCTTAGGCATTAGGGTTGCTAACAATTATTTGTAACTACAAATAATGCTACTTTGGACATTTTTGTATATGTTCCCTTGAGCACATGTCTAAAATTTCTTCAGGATATTGTATTAGTCAGTTTTCAGTTGTTTATAACACAATACTTGAAACTGGGTAATTTATAAGAAAACAAAATTTATTTCCTACAGTTTTGGAGACTAAGTTCAAGTCCAGGGGGCACATCTGGTGAGGGCCTTCTTGGTGGGAACTCCATGGAGTTTGTGGTGATGCAGGATAGCAAGGAGGGAGAAGAGCACTTTCTTGCTCTCCTTAGAAAGCTACCAGTCCACACCCACAATAACTCATTAAACCATTAACCCATTACTCCACGAATGGATTAATTCATTCATGAGAACGTGGCTCTCATGATCCAGTCTAAAGGCCCTTCCTTTCACACTGCCACATTAGGAATCGGGCTTCCAACATGAGCTTTAGAGGGGACAGATATTAAACCCATAGCAGATATATTCTTAAAAGTAGAATTCCTACTACATGGGCTGTGAGAATTTTTAATTTTAGTAGGTATGCTAGTGCCTCTCCGGAATGGTTATATAAATTTACCTTCCCACCAATTTTAAGTTTCTATTTCCTTAAGATCTCTAGCCAATTCTTGGTGTTATAAGACTTTTTAACTTTTTTTTTTTTTTGCCAGTCTGATGAGTGAAAGACAAGTACTTCCTACTTTATTTTTTTTGCCTTTAGAAGGCAGATTGCTTGCATTTTTTATAATCTTATAAAAGTTTTTTCATTTAGTTTCAGGTGAGAGGTTATTTTTATGATATAAAGAGCTAGGGAGTGGGAAATGCTACCCCCATTTGCCATAAATTAAGTTGTTTCTTCTAACTTATCCTGTTTACTTCATTTTAAAAGAGCTCCATGGGCCGGCCCGGTGGCGCACTGCTACAGTGCGCCGCTTGGGAGTGCGGTGGCGCTCCCGCCGAGGGTTCGGATCCCACATACAGACCGGTTCCCGCTCACTGGCTGAGCGAGGTGCAGGCGCAACACCGAGGGTTGCAATCCCGTTGCCGGTCCAGTACGGGCGCGACACTGAGGGTTGCAATCCGTTGCCGGACACGAAAAAAGACAAAAAAAAAAGGAAAAAAATAAAAAATAAAAGAGCTCCATAGTATTTTCTTACTTGAAAGAGTTCACTTTACTTTCAGAACCAGATGTTTTTAACTTTCATTATTTGGGTACTGGGGTCTTTTTTAAAAAATCCAATTAAGTATTTTTCTTGCTTAAACTTTTTCCTTTTTAACTGAATGTTTCCCTTCAAGGAGAGGAAAGATTAGGAAGAGATATACAAAAAGATAACTTTTTAAAAAAATTGGTTGGAAGGGCTGGCCCCGTGGTGCACTCCTATATAGGGATGGCCGGTGCGCTCACTGGCTGAGCGCGGTGCGGGCGACATCAAGCCAAGGGTTGCAATCCCCTTACCGGTCACAAAAAAAGACAAAAAAATAAAATAAAAATTGGTTGGAAGAGATGTTGCCATGGTATATGAAATAATAAATGTTGTAAACCGTTAGGAGTTAGATGAAAAGAGTAAATGATTGTGTCAGATGGGGATAATATAGGAGAGGTTACTGAAGAGGGGCTATTTAAAAGTATCTAGTGGAATGTACGCCCAGGGGCCCAGGCCATGGAGCCAGGGACCGGACCCCCTGCCCACATCCAGGCACACTGCCAGCTCCAAGGAGCATGCCAAAAATGTCACCTCCATGTGTGGGTGGCCCACCACAGCCACCACCGTAACCACTGCTGCCGCGAAAGTGGCTAGACATCACAACCACCACACAGATGGTCCGCCAGCCACTGGAGTGCATAGATACAAGGAGAGTCACCAGCAGAGATCAGAGAAAAGAATAGGATGTCTCTCTCCACAGAGCCCATTCTAGAGTGACAGAAGAAGCATCTGCTCTACGATAATATTGGGGGACCTGAACACACCTCTCAGCATTGAACAGATCATCTAGGCAACAAATCATCAGAGTAACCATTACTCTTTCAGAGGGAGAGAAGAAATCTAGGGTTATCTGTGGTGGGAGGGGGGGGGAGAGGGGGATGGGGAGAGATTGGACAAGGGGCATAGAGAATAATTTGTAACAATATACATATTAGTAATATTGATTTGATCAACATGTCAACATTGGATCCCAAAAATATGTACAATCATGATTCAGTAAAAAGAAATATAAATAAATAAATAAAATTTAAAAATAAAATAAAAGTATCTAGTAGAGTGTATAAGTCATATATGAAAATTTTTATTGTGTTTTTTATAACGTGAAGTTTATTTCCAATGGTGGTATTATGGATTTACTTATTTATTTGTTTTTATTTATTTGTTTATTTGGGTTTTTTTGTTAAACATACATGTGGGGTACAATGTTGATTTTCAGTAATTGTGTAGAATGTGTGGTGTTTAGATCAGTGTAGTTAGCTTTTCATCATTACAACATGCAATCATTCTTTGTGTCCACTGACCAATTCCTCATTATCCCCCCTCCCTTTCCCCTCCCCTCCCCTTTTCCACCTCTAGTTTTCTAAAAGTTCAATGTATTACTGTGATTGTTGTTTCTTTCTTTCTTTCTGTCTCTCTTTATTGTTCATTTGTTGATTTATGGATTCAGCTCCCAGTTATGAGTGAGAACGTGCAGTATTTTTTTCTTTCTGTACCTGGGTTGTTTCACTTAGGATGATTTTCTCCAGGCTCATCCATGTTGTTACAAATGATAGTATTTCATTCTTTTTTATGGCTGAGTAGTATTCCATTGTGTATATATACCACAATTTCCTTATCCAGTCATCCACTGATGCACATTTAGGTTGGTTCCATCACCTATCTATTATAAATAGGCCTGTAATAAACATGGGAGTGCAGGTATGCCTTCAACCTGATGTTTTCCAGTCCTCTGGATATAACCCCGGGAGTGGGATTTCTGGATTGTTTGGAAGTTCTATCTGTAGTTGTTTAAGGAACTTCCATACCATTCTCCATAATGGCTGCACTAATTTACAGTCTCACCAACAGTGCAGGAGGGTTCCTCTCTCTCCACATCCTCACCAGCATTTTTTATTCTCTGTCTTTTTTATTATAGCTAGTCTGACTGGGGTGAGGTGATATCTCAGAGTGGTTTTGATTTGCATTTCCCCGATGATCAGTGATGTTAAGCATTTTTTTCATATACCTATTGGCCATTTAAAATGATCTAAATATCCAGTATTAGTGAAATGTTTACGTAGATTGTGGTATACCTATTCTATGTGTTTTCTTCCTTGACTTATTACATTTTCAATTTACAATGGGTTTATTAGTACTTAACCTCATCGTGAGTTGATGAGCATCTGTACTATCCTTTTTTTGGGGGGTAGCTGGCCGATATGGGGATCTGAACCCTTGACCTTAGTGTTATAACATGGTGCTCTAACCAGCTGAGCTAACCAGCCAGCCTACTTATTCTAATATATTGCTACTTGGTCATATAAAAATGTTTTTGAAAAATAACATTGGAAAATGCTTATAATACTGTGTTAAATAAAAAAGTTACAAAACTATATGTACAGTGTGATCCCAATTCTGTGTTTTAAAATGTACATTAGAAAAAACTGAAAGCAAATGCATTAAAAATGTTGAGATTATTTCTGGATAAGTAGAATATTTTTCTTTATACTTCTGTATTTCCCAAATTTTCTATAAAAAACACATATTACTTTGTAGTCAAAGTAAGTTATAAAAATTACTCAAGGTTAAGACAACAGTGTTTAACACTTTATTATTATAATATTCAAAATGTAAGGAATACTGCTTTCCTCGGTGACCGCACTAGACTCCACGTATCATATCTAGGCTTTTACTTTGTTCTTTGCCTTTGTTCTTCGTACTTGTGCTAAGAGCTCTTGAAGGGACTAATAGAAACACTGTTGGACTCTCCTCTATTTTGAACAGGTTGTTGGGGTGCCAGTTGGGTCTACTTTACCATCAGCAATGAAACAGGCTGTAGCAATCAGTGGTGGCCAAATCCTTGTAGCCAAGGCCAGCTCTTCTGTTGCCAAAGCAGTTGGTCCAAAACAAGTTGTGACCCAAGGAGTTGCCAAAGCAATTGTGAGTGGAGGTGGAGGAACCATTGTTGCTCAGCCAGTGCAGGCCTTAACCAAGGCTCAGGTCACTGCTGCCGGCCCTCAGAAGAGTGGATCCCAGGGTTCAGGTAATACACTAATTGGGGATCTTGTGTCCAAAACTCTCCTCACAAGCAGTTTTATTTCGTATTTGATTCTGCCTAGGAACGCCTAGTAGATTGATGCTATAAGAAGTGCAGAAACATTTGTTATTTTTTTCATGTAATGTTTTACATAGAGGTCTATAAGTAGTTTGCTTTAAATTATATATATATTATATAATATATATTATATATATATTATTGTATATATTATATATATAATATAACATATATTATATATAAAATATATAACATATATTATATATATAATATATAACATATATATTATATATATGCAAGAATAGTAAAAATAGAGGATATTTCTTGATACTGCTTTCAGGTCTAATGAATAATTCTCATCTGTCCTTATCCCCACTTTGGGTTGTATTTCAGACTTAAAATCTTGGTATGGTCATTTGCCAGTAACATTTGGAGATACCTGATGAATGCATTCTCTACCACACAGAAGTTTGAATACCTTGAATATATTTTAGGCCATGATGTGTTGTTTCTGTGAGGGCATGAAAAGAAAATACCTAAGACATTAGATGTTTACTTATTTTTGAAGGCCTTGGTGAGGCTAGAGAATTGTTGAAGTGAGTTGGAAGGATAGAAGGTAATATATCCAAAATAACGATTTCAGAAGTAGTGCAGTTGCTGGTGATTACAAAGTTCACATTGTGACATTAAAAATGAGTATTTGAGATGGATTGGAAGAAGTGATCTTTGGTGTTTAGAAGATCAAGCAGCTGGGAAGCCAGAGAATAAAATAAGTTATCTACAGTGTCACTGAGAATGACAGTCATTAGCATAGAGAGCAAGACTTTGAGTCAGGAGTCAGTCTTTAGCAGATGAGTGGAGGTGACTGGGAGTTCAGTAGATGATAGCAGAAAACAGATGGATAAGGTAGTGTAGCGAAGCAGTGCCTCAAAGGAGCCAGGGGTTTTTTCAGGAGTGAGGGGTGGTCTGAAAACCAAACTGGAGAACAGAAAGGCTCTTCTCCCAGTCCTAGCCCTCTGATGGTCAGATAAAGAGCAGTCCTCTTAGCTAGGACTGACTGGTTTAATCCACAACAAAAAGGGTGAGGTTTCAGAGGCTGTCGTGATCAGTAGGGATTCCTGGGGGGGCAGGATAAAAGACTTTGGGAGGAAGGAGTGAATGAGAGTAAAAAGAGTCACTGTTAATAATTACAGTGGACATTTTCCCTTTAGAGTTATTCAAATTTTATTCTCTATTACCAACACCTCAGCTTAGTTTCTGCCCAATCAAATGCTGAGTTCACTGTTTGGCGTTCTCTGGTCATAATTCTGATTGTAGCAAACAAGAAAGAATATACTGGAAGTTTTCTTTCTAGAGTTAAGAAATAGTGCCACCAGGGGACTATCTGCTTCAGCTATATAAAAAATTGATAAAAAGATGGTTAGTAGGTAGAGGGCTAGATTGACAGATGAATAGATGATAGATAGAAATAAAATGACATAGTATAGCAATAAATAAAGCTAGGTGTTTTTGTAAATGATATTCAAAAATTCAAATATAAATATGTAGTGACTAACTTAAGAGATTTTTAACTAGATCTTCTGATGTAAATGATGACAATGTTTGTGTTTGTTCGTTTTGTTCTGTTTTTATTGTCTGTCCTAGAAATTATTTTTTATTGAAAAATGATTGATTACACATATTTGTGGGGTAGAGTTGAATATCAATACCTGTGTACAATGTGTGATGATCAAATCAAGATAATTAGCATATTCAACATTGCAAGACATAATCATTCCTTGTGTCCATTAATTAATTTTCTGCTAACCCCTCTTCCCCTTCCCCTTTCCCATCTCTAGTTACCACGGTTTTGTTCTCTTCTTCTGAAAGTTCAGTGCATTTTTGTAAGGTGCATAAACTTTTGCTTTATTTAGAGAGAAACAGTTTGGGTGGTGTTGAAAAGGAAAGGGTAAACGGAAATGTTTACCTGTGAATCAGAAGTAGAATGGTACAGCAGTCAGGTTCATTAGAAATTAACCACGCTTGCCAAAATGCAGTGTGTAAGCTAATTGTCATTTTGTTTACTGACTGTGATGAGTCATTTTTACTTTCTCAGCCTGGTATTTTTTCCTCATACCTAAGCAGTGGTATGTCAAAAAACAGGACAGTGTACATATTCCAGAAGTCATCCAGAGAGCTACTTTGATTTTTGTGATAGTCTCAGGGTCAAAATAAACCATTGGGAGGGAATCTGTTCCAATAATAATCACTAGAATTAAGGTGGGGAAAGAAGTTGAACTCTAATATTAATTGAGTGAATATTTGTAATATAGGTAGTTCTGTACATTATCTCACCAAAGGGAAGTAAAAAGAGTCCGTATGCTTTGAAATGCTAAAAAAAAAAAAAGTGGGACCCTGAAGTCATTGTAAGTGTGAGGAAAGTCTTAAATTTTTCCCAGGACAGGGGAAACAGAAAATAGAGAGTACTGTAAAATTACACTAAATTTTAGCAGTTCCACTGAAATTGAATCAGATGCCAGAAAGTTTGGAAGCACCTGAGTAAATTCTGTGTTGATTAAAACACTTGGCTAGAAAATGTCAATATCAGGCTCTCTCTTGATCACCTACAACTAAGTCGAAAGACTCGTCAAAGATAAGTTCTTCATTGTACTCAGAGCTGAAATACAGTCAGCTGCCATTCAGTTGATAGTAAGTAGATTTCAAACCTCATCTTCAGACTCTAGGAAGCTCCCCTCACTCTTGTCGCAGAGTAGGTAGATTACAGAAGAGGAGGAGGAGAAGAGGAAAGGAGAAGGCATGGTGCTGCAAGGGAAGCTTCTCTCCAGGCTCATTTGTTTTGTTGTTGTTGTTAAACCTGTGCTTGATACTTGTGATGTTGCTGTCATTCATTGTATTTTCAGACCTCCAGTCCAGCTCAGCTGCTGGCAGTGGCAGTGGTGGTGGTGCAGGAGGAGGAGGCGGTGGAGGCTGCAGTGGCAGTGGTGGTGGAGGCAGCGGAGGAGGCGGCGGCAGTGGAACAGGAGGATCTCAAAGCACCCCTGGCCCTGGAGGGATATCCCAGCACCTGACTTACACATCTTACATCCTCAAGCAAACTCCCCAGGTCTGGTCATTTGTGACTGATCTTTAAATTCATTTAGTGATTTGATAATTGCCATTAATTATAACTGATTTGCCTTTACACCTCTGGGATCAAGGGTCAATACTAACATTTTAGCCGTGTTATAAATCTGTATTATTTTGGGTTTGTTTTGCTATGAGACGAGGAAATGGAGATTCAGAAATACTTAAGTAACTTATTGAAGATGTCCCTGCTAAACTAATGGTAGAGTTTGGGTTTAAACCCAAATCTTTCTGCCTCAAAGAAAGATTTCTACTATGCTAATTGTCTCCCAAATCCATGAGGTAATAAACAGTATTAATGTACAGTTTAAAATTTGCTCTTAAGGGGCCGGCCCATGGCTCACTTGGGAGAGTGTGGTGCTGATAACACCAAGGCCATGGATTCGGATCCCTATATAGGGATGGCCGGTTAGCTCACTTGGGAGAACATGGTGCTGATAACACCAAGTCAAGGGTTAAGATACCTTACCGGTCATCTTTTTTAAAAAAAAAAAAAATGCTCTTAGAAGGGAGTAACCAAAGACAGAGTATCAAGTTGTGGTATTTGGAGTTAGGTTAGATTTGATTAGGAACAGTTTCTGCCTTTTTTTCCCCTTGTCACTGAAGTCTCGGCTCTCCTCTAAGGAAGGTAGTAGAATTTTGGTTCCAGACGTGCTTATTAAGGATGGGTAGTTTTTAGTCTGAGTGATTATATCCAGCTTTGAGGACTGGATTGCAAAACCTGAGTTTCCACCAGCCTGCTCTGTAACCACTGTGCAAAATTTTGAGAAGTGGGGATGACTGTTGCCAATGACACTTAGAGCAGATCTGTTCTCTTCAGTTATTTTGACTGAGTTGCACAATTGAAGGGGAGAGTATTATAGTTTATAACATGGGGACTTGCAATGTATAGGATCAGAGCAGTTATTTGAATTAACAAATTACTGGTTAGTTTCTTATATTTTTTTCTAACTTAGGGCACATTTTTAGTTGGCCAGCCGTCACCCCAGACATCTGGGAAACAGCTGACTACGGGGTCGGTGGTCCAAGGAACGCTGGGAGTCAGCACATCTTCTGCACAAGGACAACAAACATTAAAAGTTATCTCTGGACAGAAAACCACTTTGTTTACACAGGTAAATACGCACACACACACCCCACATACGTGGTGATTGTGGCATTTATTTACATGTTTACTGCTTCTCTCTTTCCACAAAGACATTAAGATTGCATAAGAAAATGAACAATAAAATACTGTAGAGAAGTAAGAATAAATCCTGTGGTTTGGGAAAATACGAGGGTGCTTCAGAAAGTTTGTGGAAAAATAGAATTAAAAGATAGTACGAATCTTGGGCTGGCTGATTTTAGCTCACTTGGGAGACTGTGGTGCTGATAACACCAAGGTCAAAGGTTCAGATCCCTGTTCAGGCCAGGCCAGCCATGAAAAAAAAAAAGATAATACGAGTCTTTCCATGAACTTTTTGAAGGACTCTTGTATAAATGGAATGAGAAAATAAAGTCAGGGGTTATTCAGATATACAGACAGTAAGATCCTGTGCAGTTAATATAATGAGGTATAAAATTGACAGCAAAAGCAAAATGAGAAGCATGGTCAGTTATAAAAATCATGGTATTTGTAAGAGAGAAAAAAATACAGAGTATTTCTTTAGAAGAAACAAAGATTTTCTTGGCACTTCACTGTAAAATTTCTCTGTAGGAATTTCATATAAGAGACCCTAAATAGTGTTTAACAGGCAATTTCAGCCACAATATCCATTCAGTGAGTGCTATACTGGGTTTGGAGCATGTTTCTGCAGCATTCTTTAGTAGATACCAAAAAATAATGACAGGGTATTTTAACTGGGTGAGGGATATGGTAATCATCTATAGGAAGATACTATAGCTAGATCTCCAAAACTTACCAAATGAAACAAAGGTACAGAAGGATAGATATAGTATGACATCATTCATCAACAAACAATATATTTTCTGTGACGATATGGAGACCAGCATTCCTCAAAACATGGAATGATTATTAGATGTTTGTCCTGCTTTTTCTGTGTCTGTTGAGATGACTGTATGGGATTTTTTGTTTGTTTTTTCTTTTTTAGTATGTCAATAAGGAGGATTTGTTAAACCAACAATGCATTCTTAGAATAAGCATTACTTGGTTGTCATGTATTACCCCTTGTTAATATTATTATTGGATTTAATTTAATAAAATTTTGTTCAGAATTTTTGCAAAGGATATTGGTCAGTAGTTTTCTTTGTAATTTCTTTCTGGTTTGGTTTTTGATTTTTTTGTTTGTGTGTTTTTGGTTTTCTGCCTGTTTTGGTATCAAGGTAATTCTGGCCTCATGAAATGAATTGGAATCTTTCCCTCTTTTTTGGAAGGGTTTGTATAAAATTGATATTATTCCTTCCTTAACTATTTAGTAGAATACACCGGTAAAATCATTTAGGCCTGGAGTTTCCTGAGATTTTTAACTGCAATTTCAATTTATTTAATAGATACAGGGCTGTTCAGGTTGTTTATTTCTTCTTGAGGGAAGCATGGTGGTTTCTATCTTTAAAGGAGTTTGTCCATTTAACTGAGTAGTTGAGTTACTGGCATAAAGTTGTTCATAGTATTCCCTTATTACCCCTTTAATATCTGTAGGATTTTTAGTGATGTCCCCTTTTTCACTCTTAATGTTGGTCTTGATTATGTGTCTTTTTTTTTTCTTTATCAATCTAGCTAGAGGTTTATCAATTTTATCTTTTCAAATTACCAGTATTTGGTGTCCTTTAATACTGATTTCCTTTTGGGGAGATTCAGAAGTATATACATGATGTTATAGTTTATTCAGCCTTTTCTTGTGAGAGTAGGAGCAACATGCTTTATGGCCGTCTGCATCTTGTGTGGAAGCAGAAGTCCCTGACCAGTGGATTTTAATGTAGTAGAAAGAGCATAATTGATATGGTTTCAGATTATATAATACCCATAAACTTGAAGAAACTTCCACTTCTTAAGCTGGTCTGTCATCAAGGAAGAATAACAACACTACTTGAAAGGGCTATTAAAATCGTTTTCCCTTTTACAACTATATATGTGTGTGTCGAATATTCTTCATTTAATTTAAGCCAACATCACACACAGGAAGAAGGAAGAGGCAGAGCCAGGGCAGGGGGAGCATTGGAAACAAAACAGAACTGGCTGCTCTTGCCATGGTAACCAACTAGTCCCCCTTTTGGTTGCCACGGGGCTATCTTTTGCCTTTCGCTTCTGCCGTCTTCAGATGTAGAGCACGTTTAGTGTTTCCACATTTCTGTGGCAGATTCTCCCAGTGTGTCCTGTGTAGGGCTTTTATCATTTGTTAGGGCTGTGTTCTGTAGCCTCTTGTTTGTTTTCATAGTTGCTTGTCCATCACTGGATGTCTCAACTAGTTTTTGAGCTCAACCAACAGAATGCATTTATATATTTTTGTCTTTTCTATCATTTTTCTGGATTTGGTGCTGTGAGGAATATTGCAGCATATGCCTAGTCCGCCATTCTCAACCTGGAACAGAAAAATATAGTGATCAAAATTAAGTTCCACATTAAGATAAAATGACATAAATCTTTATGCATTGAACCATATGGCAACAACATACATAAAGTGCAAATACTATTGAGAATATGAAGAGATTTGAATAAAACTACAGTCATAGCTGAAGATTGTAACTTGTCTCAGAATTTAGGTGATCAAATGAATACATCCTGTTACAAAGGATTTAAATTAGAATAACACTTTTGGGCCGGCCCGGTGGCACACTGGAGAGTGCGCCGCTTGGGAGCGCGGTGGCACTCCTACCGAGGGTTGCGATCCCGTTGCTGGTCCCTGGTACGGGCACGACACCGAGGGTTGCAATCCCGTTACTGGTCAGTAAAAAAGACAAAAAGGAAAAAAAAAAATAACTCTTTTAACAGGCTTAATTATGTATCTTTCAAACACAGAATACACATTTTGCTTTTATGCCTATGGAACATTAACAAATTGATTATGTACTTGGCCACAAAGAGAATCTTAATATATTCCAAAAGTAGCATTGAATGTGCCTCATTCTCTTAATAAAAAACTCAAATCAACAATAACCAAAAAAACCTTGATATTAAAATATTCTCCTAAATTCTTAGATCAAAAAGAAATCAAAATAAATTATGGATTATTTAGATCTTTATATAAATGACAGTTTTATTAGTGAGGGTTTTCGAGAGAAACAGAACCAATAGGATATATAGAGATATGCAAGATGAGACTTAACAGGAATTGGCTTATGTGATTATGGAGACCATGAAGTCCCTTGACAAGCTGTCTGCAAGCGGGAGAACCAGGAATGCTGGTGGTGTGATTCAGTCTGAGGTTGGAGGCCTGAGAACTGCAGGGGATGGGGATAAGGGGCTTTCTGGTATAAGTCCTAGAGTCTGAAGGCCCAAGAACAAGGAGCTCCAAAGTCTAAGGCAGGAGAAGATGGACATCCCAGCTCGAGAAGAGAGGGAGAGAGAAATTGCTCTTCATCTGCCTTTTTGTTACAGATTGGATGATACCTGCCCACACTGGTAAGGGTGGATCTTTTTTACTCAGTCTACCAGTTCAAATGGTAACCTGTTCTGGAAATACCCTGAAATAACATTGTACCAGCTATCTGGGCATCCCTTAGTGCACTCAAATTGACATATAATTAACCGTCACAAGAGTACTTCATATTAAACATATGGCAGCAACCCAAAAGCATGCTCAAGAAAATTCAAGCTTTGGGAGGTTTCCAGTCAAGATGGTGTAATAGACAGTCCCCAGCATCACACTCACCCACAAATCAACTAATTTATGACTATAAAAAAGCAATAACAGCCAAGCTAGGGCTGCTGGACCTCAAGGGAAGAGAAGGAGAGACCTACGAAGTGCATGAAGGTGGGAGAAGCCACAACAAGAGAAAGAAAAAACCGCTCCAACTGTTTAAGGGTGGAGTGGCTGAGTTCACAGAGCAGGAGCTGGCAAAAGCCGCAGCTGTGCCCTTCAGTTGAAGTTGCTTGGAGGCGGCCACCAGGCCAACGAGACCACTAATAGGTTGTCCATAGACCCACATAGGAGCGAGGAGCCACAACAACTGAAAGAAGGAGCCACTCAGAGGCTGGTGAGTCATCACAAGGGACCAGAGCCTGTCCCATCCCATGGGAAGTGTTTGGAGCATGGGCGGTGGGGGAGATGGGCCCACTGGGGGAACAGTGGGGCACAGCAAGGACAGCTGACTGGTCCCCCAATCAGCGAAGGACCCCTCAGAGGAGACCGGTCAGGAATGCAGAATTGCATGGGGTGCAGTTTGATGAAAAAACTCAGCCTCAGATCAGAGTTTCTACACAACCAAGGTGCACTGGGTCTCTCGAGAGCCGGAAATACCTATAAAGTCAGCCATTAAAACTTGAGCTCTACGAAAACCTTCCCTAGGGAAACAGCAGCAAAGCAGCAATTTAGCTCAACCACACAGCTCAAGTGCTGGTCGCCACAGGAAGTTCCCCATTTTTAGAGGTAAGCAAAGGACAAAAAATTAGTTCTGGCCCAGGCACACTGCCAGCGCCTTAGGGCCCTCCCAGGGACCTGAGGTATGGAGCCAGGGACTGGACCCTCCCCCTTCCCACAACCAGGCACACCTCCAGTGCCTCAGGACCTGCCCAAGGTCCTGAGGTATGGAGCCAGGGAACTGGACCGCTCCATACAACCAGGCACACCTCCAGTGCCAAGGAGCATGCCAAAAACATCACCTCCCTGTGGGTGGCCCACCACAGCCATTACAACAACCGCAGTTGCTGCAAAAGCGGCTAGACATCACAACCACCATGCAGATGGTCTGCCAGCCACTGGAGTGCATTGACACAAGGAGAGTCACCAGCAGAGACCAAAGAAAAGAAGTTGTTTTTCTCCACAAAGCCCATTCCAGAGTGACAGAAGCAGCATCTGCTCTACGATAATATTGGGGGACCTGAACACACCTCTCAGTATTAGACAGATCATCCAGGCAACAAATCGACAGAGTAACTATAACTCTTTCAGAAGGAGAGGAGGAATCTAGGGTAATTAGGGGGGGAGCAGGGAGGGGAGAGATTGGACAAGGGGCATAAAGCATAAGTACTATTTGTAACAATATATATGCTAGTAATATTGATTTGATCAACATATGTCAACGTTGAACCCCCAAAATATGTATAATCAATTAAGATTCAATAAAAATTTTTAAAAAGAAAATTTAAGCTTTAAATGCTTTTTCCTTTAGCCCTGCATTCTTTTATTATTAAGGTATAACTTATATAAAATAATACACAGATCATAAGTCTACTGCTCAGTGAGTTTTGACATACGTATATTCATGCAACTATATCCCAATCAAGATGTAGAATATTTCTGTCACTCTAAACCATTACCCTCATTTCCCTTTCCATTTTTTCCCTATCATCATTTTTCTATTTCTTTCAGTATAGAATAGCTTTTGGTTGTTCTTGAACTTTATATCAATGGAATTACATAGAATGTACTCTTATTATGTCTAGCTTCTGTTCAACGTAGTGTTTTTTGAAAGTTGTCCATATGTGTATTGATAATTCATTCTTTTTTATTCTTGAGTATTTTGTTGCATGACTTCATTCTCCTGTTGATGGACGTTTGGATAATTTTCATTTTTTGAGTGTATAAATAAAACTGCTATAAACATTCAGATCTTTTTGTGCAGAGGAATAGTTAGGCCATAGGCTAAATATAGTATATGTTTATAAGAAATTGACAAATGGTTTGGTAAAGTGATTGTGTCATTGGACTCTCCCATAATTAACGTGGGAGAGTTCCAGTTGCTCCACATCCTCACTAATGCAGAAGATCATCATTCTTTTTGATTTTAGCCATTTTTGTGAGTGTGAAGTGATATCTCATTGAGGTTTTAATTTGCATAAAATTCCATTGCAGGGCCGGCCCGGTGGCGCACTCGGTAGAGTGCGGCGCTTGGGAGCGCAGCGGCGCTCCCGCCGAGGGTTCGGATCCCATATAGAGACCGGTCTGCTCACTGGTTGAGCGCGGTGCGGGCGCGACACTGAGGGTTGCAATCCCGTTGCCAGTCACGAAAAAAAAAGACAAAAAGGAAAAAAATTTTAAAATAAAATAAATAAATAAATAAAATTCCATTGCAAATTGTGCCATAGCTGTTACTTCTGGATTCTAATTATGACTTCTCCAGTTAATTGCTATGTGACCCTGGTAAAGTCACTGAGTTTAATCTCCTCATGTCTAAGACAGGACTAAAATCTACCCTATGTTTATAGTTAATGAAAAGAATGACATATGGATGACATAAGATACATACAAGTATTTTCTGCCATTCCTGGCTCCTGGCACATAGTAAGCTCTCAGAAACTGATAAATGGTATCTACTTGTGGAGTGCACTCATTTTGGGCAGTAAACAATTATTTAGACCAGGGGTCAGCAAACTATGCCCAAGGCTTTCTGTTTTTGTAAATAACTATTGGAACACAGACACATCCATTTCATGCTATAATAATAGAGCTGAGGTGATGCCACAGAGATCCGATGGCCTGGAGAGCCAAAAATCCTTAATCATCAGATTTACCAAAAAAAGTTTGTTAAGCCTTGGTTTAGACCACTGAGACTAAAACTTGTGAATAATTCTCCAGTACTAAAATGCTAAGTCATCTAGTCTAGAGCACCATTAACTTACCTATTTAAGTCGGGACCTGTCTGGGTTTGATTTTCATGTTTAAAAATTACATGTACATTTAAGAGCACTTTGGACTCAATTATTTTGAAGACAAATGGCCTGGTATCTTTGAAGATGCTGCTGTAAATGCATTCATTTATTTGTTCTATATTAGATGTTAAGGAACATTTATTTGTAGGTAGAAGGTCCTAAAATTTAGAACTTGTCAGAAGGTCACTTTATATAGTTTTGATTAGCAAGACTTTCTTAGATATTCTCCAATTCTTGGGGTGTGTCTTACATATAGATAAGGAATAAATTATGACTATTAACTATGACAGCACTATTACTTCTATCATTTTGTTTCTGCAGGCAGCCCCCGGAGGACAGGCATCTCTAATGAAAATATCCGATAGCACCTTGAAGTCTGTGCCAGCCACCTCACAACTCTCCAAACCTGGAACTACAATGCTGAGAGTAGCAGGAGGGGTCATCACAACTGCCACTACCCCAGCTGTGGCCCTCTCAGCAAATGGTCCTGCACAACAGGTGAGAATCAGCATGACAATAGAAAATCATAATGCAACATGATATTATAAACATAAAGAAGATATATCCATCAGGCACACTAGTGGATCATCTTTAAATTGAAATGTCTTTTTTTTGTTAGTTGAAATATAATTCACATACTGTAAAATTCACCATTTTATAGTGTAGAATTCAGTATTTTTATTACAGTCACAGAACTATGCAACTATTATTATCATCTAATCCCAGAATATTATCGTTATCCCAAAAACAAGCCCCATACCCATTGGCGGTCACCTCCAAATTTCCCCTTTCCTCCAGCCTTAGGCAACCACTGATCTCTTTTCTGTTTCTATGGATTTGCCTGTTCTGGACATTTCATATAAATGTAGTCACACAACATGTGGCCTTTGGTGTTTGGTTTCTTTTGCTTAGTGTGAGGTTTTCAATATTCATCCATGTTGCAGTGGGCACCAGTACTCCATTCCTTTTTACACCTGAGTAATATTCAGTTTTATGGATATATACTACGTATTGATTGTCCATTCATCAGTTGATGGACTTTGGGATTTTCTGCTTTTTAAGTATTATGCGTAATGCTGCTGTGAACATTAACATACAAGTTTTTGTAGAAACATGTTTTCATTTCTCTTGGCTGTATACCTAGGAATGGAATTGCTGGATCATAGGTAAACAAAGAGATGTTTAACATTTTGAGGAGCTGCCAAACTGTTTTCCCAAGTGGCTGCACCATTTTAGATTCTCACCAGCAGTGTTCCAATGTTTCTGCATCCTCGCTGGTGCTTGTTCTTGTCTTTTTTTGTTTTTGTTTTTTTGGTTTTTTTAAATTATCATTAGCATAATAATGTAGCCATCTTAGTGAGTGTGAACTGGTATCATTGTGGTTTTGATTTGCAATTCTCTAATAGCTAATGATATTGGGTATCTTTTCAGGTACGTATCGGCCATTTGTATATCTTTGGAGCAATGTCTGTTCTTATCCTTTGCCCATTTTTTAGTTGGATTATTTATCTTTTTATTATTGAATTGTAGCAACACTTTATATATCCTAGATATAAATCTTACCAGATTTGCAAAAATTTTCTCCCACTCTGAGCTGTCTGTTCTTTCTTGGTAGTATCTTTTGAACCACAAAAATTTTACATTTTGACGAACTCCTGATTTACCTTGTACCTGCCAGTGCATTCGTCACACTTTGGTGACCTTCTTCGCCTTTTGATGGCTTTTATCTCTGAGCCCTAGCATTTAACACTATGCCTGCCATGTAGTAGATGTTTGTTGAATGAAGTGACACTTTAAAACATTGTAGTGAGTTTTTAATAAAGGTCATTTTATTCCATTTTCTGAGAATATGTTTTCCTACTTTTCTGGTGTTGAAATACCCTTTTGTAAAGTGATATAATAAGTGGTAATTTTTTTAATGTAGTAACCCCCTATGATATTCCCTCGTTTTAAAATTTTTCAATTTTCCTGGTCTGTGAAATCCAAATGTACAGAAACCACTGAATCAGAGAAGCACTCTTTTTTAAATGGCATGACATTTATTAGATAGGTAATAGCAAGTAATAGATATTTATTGAGTATGCTATGTGACTGTGTTTGTTCTAAAGAAGTTACACTGCTTCCTTCTTAATTTCCTTATTTCTGACTCTGTGGGTGATCAGTCTGAAGGAACATCTCCTGGTTCATCATCAGCTGTCAGTTCTGTAATGAAAACTTCTGGGCAGCAGCAAGTGTGTGTGAGCCAAGCCACCATGGGAACCTGCAAGGCTGCCACCCCTGCTGTTGTCAGTGCCACGTCCTTGGTGTCCACACCGAACCCCGTCTCTGGGAAAGCCACAGTGTCAGGTCAGTTGTGTCATGGTATTACTTCTCTCTCTATTTCTCCTTTTGAGCTAGAATATTTTTGGAAGGTTTTAAGCATTATTTTGCATAATAAATTAGTAAAAGTAGCTAACCCAGTAACCAGGTTAGTATATATACTAATATGTACTTATATATTTAATTAATATACGAGGGTACTTCAAAAAGTTCATGGAAAGATTTGTATTTTAATTCTGTTTTTCCACGAACATTTTGAAATATGACCATATAGCTGCTTTTTAAGTAAATTATATTTAAAATTTACGTATACATTTTTAAGTCTGACTTTAAATTTATCATTTAAAAATTGTTAATTTATAAATTTATAGATTGAATAATAATTTTTAAGTGATACAATAAAACCTTAGCCACTTGGGTATTTTAGCTGTATTCATAATGTAATTTGTGGAGAGTTGAGACTTTGCTTTCTCTTTAAAGTACTTATTTCTTTTTTTTAATGATCAATTTTGAATGGAACTTATTGTAAAACGTATCATACATTTCTTTGTTTTCATAAACAAAATATAGAAAGTATATATTAGCCTTGATGATCCCAAGTCATAATTTTTAACATTAGTTTTTATATTGGGTAGTGTTAGGGTCATATGCTTGAGGTCTGGTTAAGATGTATGCTATCCTTATTCCCACACTTTAAACAGCCCCAGAAAAGTATTCTTTTTACTTCTTTAGGTAACATAGAGCATGAATCCGGAGGCCAGATTGCCTTAGTTGAAGTAACCTTGCTTTAATTTTTCAGCTCTAAAATGAGGTTGATTATAATGCCTACTTCATAAAGTTGAGAGGATTAAAAAAGTTAATATATAAATGCTTAGAATACTGTCTGGCGAATAGTGGGCCTTATATAAATAATCGCTGCTGTTATCATCATCATCAGTGTCATCATTTTTGTCATTAGTCCATTATCCCTTATGTGAACATCTAAAATCCAAAAAGCTGTGAAAGCTGAAGATTTTATTATTCATAACTAATAGGGCAAAATCAGAACTCCATTGTCAGTCTATTTTTGCTACTTAATGTGAATCTTCATGTGTTTGGGCACAGAAATATTCATGTATTTGATTACATTGTGATGTCCCAGATACCAGGGGACTGGTACCAGTTTTGTTTTCATTTTTCTGCAATTATGTATAAATAGATACTTCCGTAAAATATAATAAAAATGTCACAGCAATGTCAAACTCTTAAAAAAGTTTCTGAACACCCTTAATCTCTATATTATCTTGTTACAGATTGATAACTAGTTTACCAGCTGGCCGTGGTCTACAGAACAAAACTGAGTGTCACTAAGATACACATACATACACACACACACACACACACACACACACACACTTTACTACCTTTGCATAAGAGACTATGGCTAATGATGTTGTCGTTCATTATTATTACTACATTTCATACATGGCTTCAAACCAAATCTTGTTCGCTTTTTGGATAGAGAGCAGAAGATTAAGTCTGCTATGTTTTTCCCTTGATTCCCACCTCCCAGTTAAAATTGACCATGTTCTATTTTAAGGAGTGCTTATTAACTCCACTAATTGAATATTTTATTTCACACCCTTTGTTAGGTACTGGAGTAGAAATTGTGGAAATAGAAGGAATTATTAATATGAGTGCCCTCCCCTCTCCCCTTTTCTGATCAAGTTCTTAGCATGCAGTAAATGAAGTCTCTTAGCTTTAAGTTCTAGGTTCCTGAGATGCTGCTGATGAAACTTTCTGTATAACATTTTCATAAAAGGGTCAAACTATTTCCTACTGGCAACCAGCAATTTTTTAATTAAACTTATTATAAGCTATTTTAAACAGGGTTACCTTTGGGATTAAAACAGAGTGAACCAGGGAACGTGTACTAGGTGAAGAGGTCAGAGCATGTAGGGCCTTTGCAGGTCATGGTAGGAACTCCCAACTCTTACTCCAGGGGAAGCCACTGAAGGGTTTTAAGCTAAGGAGTGACATCCTCTGCTTTACCTTTTTAAAAAGACCTTTGGGTGGAGCATTAAGAGTAAACTATGGGGCACAAGATAGAAGCAGGGAATGGACCAAGAAGTAAGAAAGAAAATTTGATGATGTGTCAGGAAACTACATCCAGCCTAAAAGGAGTTTCAGAAAGAAAACAGAAAATAACAGGAAGGAAATGATCCCGGAAATCAAACAAGAATTCTTCCCAGAAATGAAGGGCGTGAACTTCTAGGTTTGAAAGGTGCGGTGTCCAGTTGAATGAATGAGAGATGGCCCAAAGCCAGACACCCCAGATAAAGAGAAGATCGTAAAAGCTGCAGGGAGAAAAAGAAAACATTCCTGAAATTGCATTATCTTTGAGCTTCTTAATAGCAATGTTAGAAGCCAGCATACTGCTTTTCAAAATTCTAGGGTAAAATTACTTTCTGTCTAGATCATTACTGAGTGAGGGTAGAAATATTTTTTGATAAAGTTTCAAATGTATTTTCTATCCAAAAGCATTTCTGTTTGTCTGAATCTTCTGTCCAACGACATTACTAAAATGTGTTTTACCAGAGTGAAGAGGTGTAAACCAAGAAAGAGGAAAAAAACAGAAGATTCAACATAAAAGGAATGTAAAGGGAATTCCCAGGGTAACAGTAAAAGCACATTCCCAAGATGAGAAGTTTGTGGCAGGCCTAGAAAGCAGCAGTCCAAATTGGAGCAGATCAGAGAGTTCGCAGAAGGATATCTCTTATTAAAAATGGAACTGTAAATTGTGTAGGAGATTTGACTGGGGAGATTTGCATTAAGGGATGCTTTACAGAGTTCTTGAAGGAGGTGGCAAGACTTAGTAAGATGTTGAAAGAAAACTAAGCAAATGAAAGAGGAGGAAATTGTTAACTCTAGAAAATAAAATGTAATCATGGTATACTTCTTCGTTTTTCGTTTTTTTGGCGGCTGGCCGGGATGAAGATCTGAACCCTTAACCTTGGTGTTGTAACACTGCACTCTAACCACCAGAGCTAACTAGTCAGCCCTTGGTATACTTCTTTGGATCAACAGGGTATACTGGAGCATAGGGAAGAGAAAGTGTAAGTGCCTTAAAAGAGGCTTATCTACCCTAATAGTAAGTCAGTAGGTAACATGAAAAATTGATGAATGAAGGCCTGCAATATATACATTCTTTTAAGACTACTGAGGTAGTAGACCAGGAGCAGCTTGCGCCCGGTCAGGCCTGGCCCAGGGGCTGAGAGCCAGACTGCGATGCCGTGGCCCTGTTGGGGGACAGACTTGAGGAGGATGAGTCACTGGAGCAATTCACCAAAATGACGAACACAAGGGGAAAGAGAAGAGGCACCCGATACATGTTCTCGAGGGCTTTTGAAAACATGAAGTTGTTCCTCTGACCACGTACATGTGAATCTGCAAGAAAGGTGATATTGTAGACATCAAGGGAACGGGTACCATTCAAAAAGGAACTCCCCACAGATGTTGCCATGACAAAACTGGAAGAGTCTACAGTGTTGCCCAGCGTGCTATTGGCACTGTTGTAAAGAAAGATGTTAATAAGAGCGATGTTCTTGCTGAGAGAATTAACGTGCACATTGAGCATATGAAGCACGGTAAGAGCTGAGACAGCTCCCTGAAACGCATGCAGGAAAACAATGAGGAGGAGGAGGAAGCAAGAGAGAGAGGAACCTGGGTTCAACTGAAGCGCCAGCGTGCTCCACCCAGAGAAGCACGCTGTGAGAACGAACCAGTGGCAAGGAGCCTGAGCTGCCGGAACCCATGCCCTGTGAATTCATCGCATAGTGGTATAAAAAAAGTAAAAGACCAAGACTGCTGTTCTGTTAACTAAAAATAAATAAATAAATACTGAAGTAAATATTAAAAGAAAGAAGCAAAAGGGTTAAAAGTGAACTACTAGGGAACTCGATGAGGATAGGGAGGTAAAGCAAAGGGTGGCTGGTTTTAGTTACAAGCCTTTTAGTACTTTTTTACTTCTCAACTGATCAGCATATAATATTTTGATAAAAGTAAGAATTGTAAAACTACTAACACCAGCTCATTGTTGTACTTGACTTAATACTTGACTGATTTAACTCTTTCTTGGGAATAGCCCAAGAAAGATTTTCTTGTTTAAGGCCTTGTTCTATGAAGTCTTTAAGGTGATGCCTTTCCTTAGCTCAAACCAAATTCTTTCCAGTGCCTTAAAGTATCTTTAGCCTCTGATGCTGTTTTTTAAGTAGTAGTTATGTTATAACATATGTTTATATTATTTGCATCTTGTGTGCTCTTTCACAATAAAGGCCCTTTGTGATTTTTTTGCTGGCCCGCAGAATGCCTAGAGTAGTTTTGTAATGGAAGTAGGAGGATGGAAATTACCTTTAAAATAAAATGAGACAGAATGACCTAAATGATAGAGAACTTCTGATGTTTGAAAAATAAGGGCTGCACAGAGATAGGAATGATGCTTAGACAGATTGAAGTATTAGATATGTAGGGATGGTGTGAAAGAGATGGAGATAAATTGGGACCAGATTAAAATTGATCCTGAATGCTTTGAAGCTAATTTTGGAAATATTCTTGAGGCAGTTAGGCCCAGAATAGGTTTTTAGGTAGGAAAGTGACAATTTTCTACCTTAAAATACACAATTTTATCTAGTACACATCACAGCTATGTAAAAAACAAATTGTCAGGGCTGGCCTGGTGGCACACTGGAGAGTGCGCCGCTTAGGAGCATGGCAGCGCTCCCGCTGAGGGTTCGGATCCCATGTGGAGACCGGTTCCGCTCACTGGCTGAGCGCGGTGCGGGCGCAACACCGAGGGTTGCGATCCTGTTACCGGTCAGTAAAAAAGACAAAAAGGAAAAAAAAAATTGTCATAGAAAACAAACATGGAAAAAAACTATCTCAAAATGTTAATACCAACTATCTGCAGTAGGATGTGGGGTGACTTTTTCTGCTTTCTGTTAGTCCTGTTTTTGTAAAAAAATTCTGTATTTCTGATTGTGGGTCAAGGAAACTTTAAAAATAAATCATCATTGTCACATCGGTATTTCATTGTGAAATCTGCAGCGCCCACTGCCTCGTGCTCACAGCTCTTGATTTACCCGACAGGGTAAATTTCCTAGAAACTTTCTCCTGTGAGGAAATATGAGTGGCAAAGAAGGCAGGAAGCTTTAAGGAAGCATCTGATCTTCAGTTTGGCCTTATCTTCTAATTTATTTTAGGGTTGTTAAAGATTCACTCCAGTCAGTCCAATCCCCAGCAGGCTGTCCTGACGATTCCCAGCCAGCTCAAACCACTCAGTGTAAACACATCAGGAGGTATGCAGACCATACTGATGCCTGTGAATAAAGGTAAGTCCTTCACCCATGGGCCTGACATATGGTGGTTGTCTCCAGGTCTATGCTGAGGGGGAAGTTTAATTTCTATCAGTAGGCAACTGCTCTTCCCGTGTACAGCCTGCCCTTTAGCTATCATGGAATTCCCTGGCACCATGAACTCTAGGGCACCAACTCTGGGACTGAAAGTAAAACTGAACTTAGCCATTGGCTTCTAAGTAGTTGCCCATTTCTAAGGTTGAGTCAAGGAGGAGGAACATTTTAAGCATTTATGAGAGTTTAGGCTAATTGGATTTTTATTTTCTTAGTCTACTGACAAGCCCCCATTTCCACAGTTGAGGATATAGCTCAGTTAACCTGGCACTAACAATAAACAGTCCAGCCTCTAAGATCACTGAATTAAAAAAGGACATCATTCCTGTTGTCCTGAATTCGTCTTTGTGCTGTTAGTCTAATATGGGGCTATCACCTGGGAGTTAGATCATCCTTATTAAAAATAATTTCTGTATTTGTTATATCCCCCCACCTCCTTTCTTGCCCTTCAGTGGTTCAGTCATTTTCTGCCAACAAATCACCTACCATTCTGCCTATAGCTGCCCCAACTCCAGTTGTCCCCAGCTCTGCTCCAGCAACTGTTGCAAAAGGTATGTAGGATCTCACACTATTTTTGCCCAGAGTTGTGCACAGGACATTACTCTAATCTGAGTCCTGTGAATTTTTAGCATGTGTGGATCAGTCAGTTGGCAAATATGTACTGAATGCTCATATAGTAGACTTGACATTGTGGGAAATACAGAGACACATAAAGCATCATTTCTGCCGTTCAGGAATTCATAATCAGGTTGAAGAGAGTTGGAATGGACAGCAAGCAGTGATTGATAAATGCAAAATAAGTGGAAATGATTGCTAAAATATTTCAGTCTAGGATGTCTGATCAGGGTTGTCAGGGGGTGTGGAATCAAGGGGGCAGGACTTTGTATGGGGCACGGATTATAACCTGGACTTAAAAGAGTGGAGCTTTTTTAGCTGTGGAAAGGTCAAGGGGTATGCCAGTAGAGACAGACTCAGAGGGCTTGTTTGGGGAAGTAGACCAATTAGAGGGACTCATTTGGGGAGAATAGCTGAGGTCAAAGAGCTTTAGGTAGGGGCTAGACTTTAGCAAGCTGGCAGTGGGGGACACTCCTGACCACAGGAATAGATCCAGATATGGCAGTGAATTAGAGCACACATTTGACATCTATAATATCTCCAGTGATAATAATAGTTACCATGTGTTAAGAGCCTACAATGTACCAGCACCATTCCAGGTACTAGAATAAGAATATATATCACTGATTCTTATTCTAGTATTTTGCCATAGCTATTATGCCCATTTTGTGGATGAAGAAACAAGTCTGGAGGTATTAAGTCTAGATAGAAAGCTAGAAAGCAGTGAAATTGGAATTTGAAATACATCTGTTTGATACCAAGTCAGGCTGCTTTTCAGGCATGCCAAGATCTCTTACAATAGTCTTGGGAAGAAGTGGATTTGTAACTCACTAAATGACCATCTAAAGCAGGGTTTGGCAGACTACAGCCCGCTGCCCACTGCCTGTTTTTGTGAGTAAAGCTTTATTGGCTCATAGGAATGTCTGTTTGTTTACATATTATCTCCCCAGGCTTTCTCCCTCAACCACAGAGTTCAGTAGTTCCTACAGAGATTATATGACCCACAAAGCCTAAAATGTTTACTGATTAGCCCTTTATAGGAAAGTTTGCCACTGTCTGATCTAAAAATCGGTGTCAGTCCGGACCAGTACTTCTCAGTAGGAAGAACCTGTCATAGACCTGCCTCACACAGATTATGATTCAGTTAATCTTGGACTGTTGCATCTCTGTTTTGATTTTAATTGAACTAAAATGTTGTACAGTAAATGCAAAGATACTGAGCATACCATTTGATGAGTTGATAAATGTACCCATGTAACCAGTACCCCATTCAAGATATAGAAATTTCCATCACCCCACCCCCGCTTCCATTCAATTCCCGACCCCTGCAGGCAACCACTATTTCTATTACCATAGATTAATTGTTTCTGTTTTTGAACTTTATATAAATAGAATCACATACCTTTTTTATGTCTAGTTTTATTCATTCAACATAATATTTTCAAGATTCATCCATGTTGTTGCTGAGTAGCATTTTACATCGTGGGAATATACCATAATTTGTTTATCATTTCTCCTGTTGATGGACATTAGGGTTGTTTCTAGTTTGGGGCTATGATGTAGGAATCTTACTTCTCTTGTAGAAGAGCTGTCCCAACCTGAAAAGGCTATGATTATGTAATTCCATAATTGCTTGAATACCAGATTAAAGTGAGTATACTTGAACCTGTAGAACTGGAGTATATGAGCTTTTTCTGAGGACTTCCTTCTGTTTCTTAGTCTTGGAGTTACTAGGAATTGGAGGAATATGCATTGCTGACTGTGAAATTAGTAAGGTCACCCAATACAAGTCAATATACATAGAAAAATCATTTGAATTTCTATATACTAGCCACAACAATTAGAAAATGAAATTTAAAGAAAACATTCATAGTTGTACCAAAAATACCAAATGTCAGTTAATAAACCTAAGGAAAGATGGATAAATCTTACATACTAACAATATACTAAACATTTCTGAGAGAAATTAAAAACACCTAAATAAATAGAAAGATATACCAATAATATTGAAAGACTCGATGTGTTACCAGTTCTACAACAAAAATGACATAGATTCAATATAGTTCCAGTTACAATACCTGCAGAGGGGTGTGTGTGTGTGTGTGTGTGTGTGTGTGTGTGTGTGTGTGTGTGTGTGTGTGTAGAGAAATTGACAGGCTAAGTCTAAAATGTATATGGAAATGCAAAGGCCTAAAAGAGTTGAGACAGCCTTAAACAACAAAAAAGCTGGAAGGCTTAGGCTACCAGATATATATATATACAGTCATGCAGAACAACAGGGATATGTTCTGAGACGTGTCATTAGGCAAGTTCATCGTTTGTGTGAGCATTATAGAATGTACTCACACAAACCTAGATGGTATAGCCTACCACACACCTAGGTTTAATGGTATAGCCTTTTGCTCCTAGGCTACAAACCTGTACAGCATGCTATTGTACTGAGTAGTGTAGGCAGTTCTAACACAAGGGCTATGATGTCTCTAGGAGATAGGAATTTTTCAGGTCCATTATAATCTCATGGGATGACTGTCATATATGAGGCATGTCGTTGACCAAGACATCATATGTGGCACATCACTGTACTATAAAGTTACAGTAATTGAGGTAATGTGGTACTGGCTCCAGAATAGGCTAATGCAAAGAGAGCTCAGAAATAGACCTACCCATGGGGCCGGCCCGGTGGCGCACTGCTACAGTGCGCCGCTTGGGAGCGCAGCAGCGCTCCCGCCGAGGGTTC